TTGGAGATCTACCCGGCCTGGTGGTTAACATGGAGATCAGCAGAGGGCAGACAGCCAGTTGTTAGTTTAGTGGCTTCCCTCAAAACCTTTAGGGGCAGTTCTGTTTTCAGCATCCTGGTTGTTTGCACCAATGGCAACAGTTTTTTGCAAACTGCTGTTTTAGGGATTGCTTATTGACAAAGTAGACCCAAAAGTCATTCTAAGTTGTGGCTGACATGGAGCTGAAACACTTGGAGATTGACTTTCAAAAGGTCATTTATGGTTTTTTAGACTTTACCTGACCCAAAGAGGATCAGATAGGGCTTGCTGGGTAAAGTTCTCCTGCCTCTTTCATCCATTTTTGGGTTTCCCCACTTCCCACCAATATGGTCGAGATCATGTTTTCTGGAATCATAAATTCCAGCTGAGATCCTGAATGCTTCAGAAAACTTTGAATGTCTTTTCTATGTTAGGAAATTTTAAACTATGACCCTGAGCTTTGTTTTTGTCCAAAGAGTGTAAGTCACTCAGGGATTATTTCCTGAATTTTTGTTGGTTTTATTTTAAAAGAAAACTGTTCGCTTTTTCAAAGAAGAAAGAGAGTTAGTATACCATAAATATCCAGGCAAAGTGGGATACAGCAGAGCAGTAGGAGTCACATCAGCTTTACCATCTTTGATATGGGCAATATCTTACATTTTTAACAATGAATTTTTTTCAAACAATGAATTTTTTTAAAAAGCAATTTTAGAATCCTGTTTTTTGGGGGGAGGGCTTCTGAATTCCAGTTAGAATAGCAATCCCGTTCTCTCTGCCTAATTAATGAGGCTTGGATTCAAGTATACTTCTTAGAAGAGGAGTCTTGTTCATCTAGAATGTTCCATATAATGGCCACTGTAATCTGAATTATCTTTAGTAAGATTTTACTAGTTTTGTAAATACTTGCAGCTTCTGGGGCCATAATTCTTATACATAAAGAAGACAGGTGTACCAGAAGGCAGAGAACTAAGATCTTTAGACATTAGGGATTACGTTTTATGTTGGGTCTTGGGTCTCTTGGAGCCAGGATGGCTTTGGCTCTGATACCTCAGTGCCCAAGAAGAGAAGAAATAGAGAGGCCCCTGCAGTATTAAACACTTACTGCACTGTTGCCAGTCACCTTAAAAACTGTACCCTTTTTTTGGCCAGTAAATCTTCAGTCACAACAAACCAAAGGTCATGTACCCTGCCACAGCAAAAACTAACTCTTGGTACCACAAAAGCCGAAGAGATCAGAATATTCAAATGCAAAAGAGAGCAAAGCTCAGAACTGAGAGGAACTTAATAATGACATTTAGAACTCCTTAAGGAACACAGGAACCCCCCCCCAACACACACACACTAAAGGGGTAAGCAGTACCTTTTCAGTGTTCCTCAAGGGGTCACAGAGTCATCAGTAGTCTCCTTCAGGTCCCTTCGTTGGTTATCATATCTGTCAAAAGATGAAATTACAACCAACATAAAGGTCTTAATTGTCTTGATTTGTGATTCTGGAATCATGCAACACTTTATTCCATAAGGTAGAATGAATGTTCCAGTAAGTCCAGCAGAAGAGGTTGGTTTTACAGACAGAAAAAGGGCTGAAGAAAGCAGAAACAAATAACAAAAAGTGGATTCGTCATTTCAAAGTTACTTTCCTTGTAAGGCAAGACAGGGAGACAGAACAGAAGAAAAATATCCAATTTGCTGACATAGGATTAAAACAGGTAACTTCATTATCATAGCAATTACAGCTGGCCTGTTTGGGATATTGATATTTTTCTCTCTTTCCTGATTTCTGGAACGGTCAGATAACACCTTACTTTTGGTTTGGTAATGTGAAACTTTATTATGGGTGATTCCATTTTGAATTTTAGTCTGTTCTGTTAGGGTCTAGTATAGATACTTAGCCTAAACCAATGACATCCTATGTTGTTTTTTTTTTAACAGCCCTCTAGATTCTTGGTTCTACCCTCTGAGTCATCCTTCATTTTTTATGAAACCCAGAACATGTTTGCAACTGACTAGTTTTATCAACTTGCTTCCTGCTAATACAAGTTTAGGGTTCCAACAGTCTCTTTTCATTTTATACCCTCTCAGTCCCTTTCATTCCAAGTTGGCAGTGTTTCTGCTGAAATAAAATTTTCAAAAACTTTGTGAGTCTCCTGTGAACTTCACAGGAATTCACTTCTCTATTAAAAAAAAAAAAAACAAAGAGAGAGAGACATCCACAGATCTTTTCAAAATAATCCTTTCTCCGTCTTTGGCTCATGCTAAAATGGTTGAGGGACAATGCTTTTAAATTCCTAGAGACTCTGGTTTGACTGAAGGATCTGTGAGGCATCCCCTTCATCACTTGAAAGGGACCTTGGTGTGACTGAATAATAGGAGATTTTGATCTTTCTGAGGTTTTAGCAAAAGGATGTATAGTCACACTTTCAACCTTTTCCTATAGAACCTACTTTCTTGACAGTGAGTCTTAATTTTAGTGCCTTTTGCCATCTGAAGAGTCTGAGCATTTTCAAAATGAAGTCTTATTTTCTGTTTGAGTTCTTCCCTCAATTTCTTTCTCTCTCTCTCCTCCTGCATTTCACTGAAAGTGGCAAAAAGATACCATTAAGCTATTGCTTGGAAATTTTCGTCACTATACATCTAAGCTCATTGCTGATGAATTTTGTTTCCCACATAACCACGGGATACAATTTCCCTAAACTTTCTGTCACCATAACAAGGATGACCCTTCCTCAAATTTCTGACAGCATGTTCCTCATTTCCTTCTGAGCCCTCACCAACAAAGTTCTTAAAGTCCAAAGGTCTGTTAATAATCCGTTCAGGGCATTTGAGGCCTTCTCTATGATGCTACCAAATTCTTCTATCTCCTTCCACTACCCAGTTGTGAAGCTACTTCCACAGTTTAGATATTTGTTACAGCAGCACTCACTTCCAGACACCAAACTCTATATTAGTTTTCAATTGCTGATGTAACAAATCATCACAGATTTTAGTCCTTTAAAACAACAAACATTTGCTGTCTCAGTTCCCATGGGCCAGGGATCTGGGCACAACTTAATTGGATCCTCTGTTCTTTTTTTCCCCCCTTTTATTATTGGTTCGCACTGTGTCACCCAGGCTGCAGTGCAGTGACACGGTCATGAATCACTCTGGGACTACAGGAGTATGCCAGTATAACTACCTGGATCCTCTGCTTTTAGTCTTACAATGCTGAAATTGAGGTCTCACCTGGACTGCATTTTCATCTGGAAGCTTAAGTTTGGGGAAGAATTTTCTTCCAACTTCATTCAGGTTGTTGACAGGGTTCATTTCCTTGAAGCTGCATGACAAAGGAGCCAGCATTTTACTGGATTCCTACAGCTATAGCTAGGCCCCCTGAGGTCCCCATAGCTCCTAGCCTCATGGCCCTCTTGCAGGCCCTGTCACAATATGGCAGCTTATTTTTTTAAGGCCAGCAGGAGAATGTCTTGCTTCAGTCAGCTAAGATTGAGTCTCACACATTGTAACATAATTGTAGGAGTGGCATCCTATCACCTTTGCAAAATCCTATTGGTCAAAGCAAGTCACAGATTCTGTCTACATCTAAGGGGAAGGGATTATACAAAGGTATGACTCAGTGGGAGGCATTTTTGGGTGTGAATTCCACAGATGGTCTAGTAAGTTGAAGTGTCCCCCAAAGTTATCAGATCATAATTCCTGGAGCCTGAATATGTACCTTATTTGCAAAAAATAATTTTTGCAGATGTGATAAGGATTTTGAGATGAGGACTATCCTAGATTCTCTGGTAGGCACTAAATGCAGTCACATGTATGTTTATCAGAAGGAGGCAGAGGGAGATTAGACATACACAGAGAAAGCCGTATGAAGATGGAGCAGAGAGAGATTTGAAGATGCTGGTCTTATCAAAGGTTGGTTTGATGCAGCTCCAACCAAGGAATGCAGGCAACCACATGGAGATAGGAAAAACAAGGAACAGATTCTCCTCAAGAGCTTTCATAGGGAGTGTAGTCCAGTTAATGCCTAATGATACTGATTTTGCGCTTTTGATCTCCAGAACTGGAAGAAAACTGTGGTCATTTTTTATAGTAGCCATAGGAAACTAATAGTAGTCATAGGAAACTAATACAGATGAGTATTATATGATGCCTAAGTGATGTTTTTTAAACGCACTTCGCTGGTTATTCAGTGAAGCTAGGTATCTTTTCATAAAATGTTGACTGTTTGAGTGCTTTTTTCTGTTTTCCAACTCATCTGTTCTTTTTTCTTTTGAACTTTCTTATTGAGTACTAGGAGTTTTTTACACAATGTAACACTAATCCTGTGTTTGTTATCTGTGTTATTGAAGAAGATATTTATCTTTTTCTAATCTGTGGATTGTCTTTTTATCTTGTTTATCATGTGTTCTGCATTCAGATTTGGTTTTCACTTTCTTTATTATGGAAAGTTTTAAATATACCCCAAAGAAGAGAGAATAGTGTAATAGGTCGCCCATGTGTGCCCATCCTGCAACTCAGTAATTATCATTATTTTTTTCTCAGAAGTATTTATCTTTTCCTCTAAGGTTTGTACTTTTTGTGCATTATCTAAGAAATCCTTAAAGATTGTGTTGCTATGATTTGTGTGGCTGAGTATTTGTGTCATAATAACACTCATTCCATTCTTTTTTGCTTTTACATTTATATAATGTTATCTTATGTGTACAATTTTTAATAAGTTTAAAGCATCACTGGTCTCAGTGTTAATATATATCTTCTTCTTGAATAGCCTGTACTTTTTTTATTCAGCACAAGCTATTGATCCAGACCTTGGGAACTCACCAATTGTCCCAATGATGTCATGCATGTTACCATAGACTTTGTTGAAAATCTCATGCATTCTTATAAGAAGGCTAATCATTCAGAAGATTACAAAGTATGTCTGAGTCAGCTATGCAGGCATTGTTGTGTTTATTAAGTAATTCCTCTCAAAATTTTTCTTTTCTTATTTCTAGTGTGCCATCTGGGCTTGAAGGCATGAAAGAACAGGACATTTGCAACAAGATAATGGCTAAAATCCTAGAAAATTATAATACCCTGTTTGAAGTAGAATGTACAGAAAATGATAATCAGAGGTGTGAAAACCAGGCTAGGCTTATCATAGTAAAAGTAAGTAACTTGGTATTTAATTTTTAGTATTGCTATAATTTTAGATAGAAGCTTTTATTTAAGCTATATTTTGTCATAAAAATTTTGCGTGGATATAATTCCAGATAATTATTCCTAAGTGTGGTAAGTTCTTAGGAAATCTTTCTATCAGATGTTTATTAAGTTAATACATATTTTTATAAGATTCAAGAATAATAGCAGTTTAAGATTTTCTTGTTGCCATAATATTGTCTCAAAAATGCATGCTTGAACCCAGTGCTCTGACCAATTGTTTGCACTACCCTTTCTATGGAAACCTGATGTTACAACAGAGGTATATGTATATGACTGGGTTCAGGAGCGCTAGCTTCCTGACGAGACTGTAAGTTCCTGAAGATAATATTACCATGTCTTTGTGTCTCTCTTTTGCCTGGCATACTTTCAAGCTTAACCTCAGATTTTAACTCCCATATGTTAGTCTTTGGTAACAATCATCAGTAAATGAGAGTATTTTAAAGACCTACACAAGGAGATCTTAGCAGTACTCTACATCTTTTCATGCATTGACTGACAATTTATAACATATCCTTTACATATTAGGTAAATCTCTTAAGGTCTCTACAGACCTATAATTGAGAATCAGAGATAATCATCCAAACCAAATCCTCCAGGTATGGGAAAAGAAGGAAAGCCTCTCATTTCTTTCTCATTTATATTGAGGTAAATCATGATGGAGTAGATATGAGAGATTTCCTCTGGAGGTTTCCTGAGACTTATCAAATGTACAGAGCATTCTATACTCTTGCTGATTCATAAGGCAATGAATGATGAAACCAGAGGCATTTGGTTTGTGCACTTGAAGGGATGTTTTCATCTCTTCTCCCAGTTGAGGCCATGATTTTGAAGGACAAAAAGGTAATGGGTATCAAGTAACACCCTACTAAAGCAGGAAAAGAAGACCAGAACTAGTTTTTCTTAACTAGAGTTTCTGCTAGTAATACAGCAGACTCCCTACAGGGAATAGACTATACCTCCTTAGAACTGAAGGAGTGCATTTAGCAGGCATCTTGCCAGTCTGATAAAGAGAACTTTAAACTGAAATTTGAGGTAAGGGGAGAACAATGCTCAGACAAAATGATAAAATGAGATAATTGAGAAATATCAAGTGTAACCTCAGTGAGTAATAACACAGTAGCAGGAAAAAAATGTGGCATTGATTCACAAGCAGAAATAAGAAAAAAACACCTACTTCAGTTTTGCTACAGAAAAATTAAAATAAATGATTTTTTCCTTCGAGACTGGGTCTTGATTTTTAAATAGAGAAAAGTCTCTCTTCAGTTTTTTCCTCTGGTAGTTGTAGTACTTTGCATAGGATCTCTTTTTAAAATGTTAAGAGGTTAAAAGGTTAAATTTAGCTTTGTTTCAGCTAAATTTCTGAATCACATGTACTCCATAAATACTGTGTGAAACTATTATGTACCCATAATAATTAAAAATACAATTTTTAAAAACAGTCTCCGATAAACACTTTGTAACACTTATACCTTTTTAGTAGGGCTGATAAGATAATAAGGTAAATCTGTAATGTAATGGAAATAGATAAATATGATCTCTTGGGTATGACAGACTTACAGAGATCAAGCTAATTGCTGGAATATGCCAGTGGGAGGGCTATGTGCTTTGTAAGTTAAAAAAATACCTATTGAGAGCTGTGGAAGAGGACCCTGCTTGGAAATCCTTTAGTGACTAGGTTTAGCCTGGTAGAGAACACAGTATGAGAGTACATGGCTCATACATTGATAATACTGTGGGCCAAATACCGATATCTTGGGTAGTTAAAGAATAGAACTGTTGCTCTCCTAATACAAGTTTCAGATATGGCCTAGAGGTAGATTAATGTCATGATTGGAAACCATGTGTTTATACTCTGGAAGCATCATTCTGCTAAAGCAGAATATTTGATGCAATTTGTTTTGGGTTGGGTTTTTTTTTTTCCTGATCTTGCTGGTAGTCTCTTCTCTGAGAAATTAGAGAATACAACAAGAGAATGTGATTCTCTGGACATGATTATAACTAGGCAAGATGAAATAGGAATTTTGGAAATCAGTTTAAAAGGATATACCAGTGCCATCTTAGAGTTCATAATAATAAAAAGACAACATGCTAGCCACAGTTACATATATAAGCCTGGGTAATGCTTAGATAACAGATTTTTTTTTTAAATTCTAAAGGTCACAGAAACATTAGATAGAAACTAAAGGGCAGTTGGATTTAAAAGGAATCGGGACGGCCAGGTGTGGTAGTTCATGTCAGCACTTTGGGAGGCTGAGGCCAGAGGATGTCTAAGCCCAGGAGTTCGAGACCAGCCTGGGCAACATGGCAAGACCTTGTCTCTAAATCAAAAACTTAGCTGGGCATGGTGACACATGCCTGTTATTCCAGCTAATTGGAAGGCTGAGGCAGAAGGATCACCTGAGCCAAGCAGGTCGAGGCTGCAGTAGTTGTGATTGTGCCACTGCACTCCAGTCTGGGCGACAGAGTGAGACTCCAACTCAAAAAAGAAAAAAGAAAATGTATTAAAAAATAAAAATAAAGTAAAAGGAATTGGGAGACTCATAATGAAGTCACTAAATTATTGAAAAAGATAGAAAATGAGAGAACTGTAGAAAAGTTACCTTTCTATTTATTCTCTCACATGAGATTGGCTTTTGGAAGGATGTGTACAAACAAAGGAAATGGGCGCAAAACAAGTGATAAATATACAAGAGCTATAGAGACCTAAGATATCTAAGCTGAAAATAAGCCGAGTCTCATTACACCTACTTAGATATGGGACTTTTAAGGGACAAAAAGACTAAATATGTACACTGACACTTCTCTGAATTCCCAGTTGGGGAAACAAAATCATAAAATGTTGAATGGTGTTTCTCATTATATCCTTGCAGACCAAATGGAGATTAGGGTCCAGGAAAATATGTTTGGTTGTATTTGGACCTGCATAAAGAACTTTGACCCAAGTACTAGAATGTGGATTGATGTTAACTTCAGGGGAAGTCTCTACACTTGTCTGTGTCATTTTCAGTATTTTAATCATTGACTTGAAATGAGAGCATAATTAGGACATTTGCAAGTGAAATCAAGCTGAAATAATAGGTCAGATATTGGATGCGTGGATATATAGACCAGCAAAATTGTGTGTTTACAACTGTTTTCCCTCTTCTTCCTTGCTAAAAAAAAAAAGAAAGTAAGAAAAGAAAGAAAAAAGTTTTATTTGAGCCTGCAGCAATGTACTGAGGTCAAGGAATGGATGAATCATAAATGGTCTATTATACCACCCTCATTAGCCAGTGATTGCCTTAAGGGTAGGCTGTGACACAAATCTGGTCAAGGAAATGTAAGGGAAAGTGTTCTGGGGACGGAGGGCCTCTGAGAAAGATTTTCATTCCTGATATGAAAAGAGAGAGTGATTGAAGAGATCAGAGATGTGGTTACCTCTCAGTGGGGTTGGGGTGGCAGTGGTAGTGCTTGACTAGGAGGGTGCCCAAAGGAACCCTCTAGATGATAAACATGTTCTTAATAGAGATAAACACCTTAATAGAGATATTAAGATATGTACAAGTATATACATTTGTCAAAACTCATTCAACTGCAGCCTACGATTTATGCATTCTATAGCATGTAAATTATAGCAAGCCTATGAGCCAAGATGCCTGCCTCTCCAATCCTGTTTTCATGTGAAAATATGATACACATACACAAACTCTAGTGACATAAGTATGGTTGAAATAATAGAGCATGAACTCCAGGCTGAATTCAATAAATCCAAGTATTCAGCAGTTGTCTACTATGAGCAAAGTGTTGTTCTAGGTCCAGGGTGTATAACAGTGAAAAATAGACAAAAATAGCTGCTCTTTTGAATCTTATATTCTAGGGGGAGTGCCATAAACAAACGATAATTTTAAAAAGGAAAAATGTAGTATGTCAGATGGTGATATGTTCTGTGAAGAAAAATAAAATAGGGAAGGACAGAAGTAGGTGAGTGGAATTTGCTTATTTAAGTAGGACAGTCAAAATGCTTCATTGATGAGGACATTTGAGCAGAGACTTGAAGTAAGTGAAAGAGCAACCCGTGAAGACACTTGAGGGAAGAGCACCCAGGCAGGGAAGAGTGGCACAAAGGCCTTGGTGTTAGTATGTCTCATCTGTTGGATGCGCAGAGCTGAGAGGCAGTATGTGGATTAAAGTGAGTAAGGTGGAGAGGAGAAGGAAATGAGGCCACAGGGGCAACACGGGCCAGGTCATGTCCTCTCTAGGACTTTGACTTTGACTCTGACTAAAGCCATTAGATACTGTTAAGCAGCAAAGCACCATGATCTGGCTCTTGTATTAAAACAAAACAAAACAAAAAAACTACTCTGACTGCAAGGCTCTTGAACAGGAAGACCCATCAGGAGCTTATGGCAAAAGTGCAGGTGAGAGATGATGATGGCTTGGACCTGGATGATTGTAGTGAAGATGGCGAGGGGAGCTGGGGGTAAGTTAGGATACACAAGAACAACATGGTAGGAAATACTAAAGACCCCAGTTAGGCTAAAGCATGTTTGAGGTGAGAGCAGGGACATAATCAAGCTGAAGAACAGGAGCTGTGAACAGGAAAGGGGAGGTTGCATTAGTGATTTTGGAGGTAGTGCTATCTGGAGCGATAATAAGGTTTAGGTTGTGTTTATGAACATGAGTGACTAAAGTAAAGGAGAATAGAAAATCATGGGAAAGGAGATGAGGAAGAGATGGGAAATACAAAGAGTGATGGTTTGTCCTTACTGACCCTGAATTTACCCAAGAGGGTGGCAGATACTGAGATGAACAGGAAGGCCATAATCTTGGTTTGTCTAGTTGTCCACTTTGTATATAAGTAATGTGAACACATATTTAATAGAGCTCATGGAGAGCATCATACATATGTATACACCATTAAATAATGTGATTAATATGTTGCTAAATATCATATCTAGAAGTATCTA